TCGCCGTCCTTGTCGAATAGCGAGAACGCCTCCTTGAACTCGGAGATCTGCTCGTTGGAGAGTTGGTCAGCCATTTGTCCTTCGGATGTAGTGGGTTAGCTGATTGCTTGACTCGCGCTGAAAATAAATTCTTGTGCTAATTTCCTTCAGCCAAAACGACGACAAGAATAAGAGACAGAGCCACACAAAACAACGGAGGCGTTGCAAAAAACATTGACACATTGACTGTCAGGGAGACGCAGTAGACAGCAGCACATGAAGACAATCAAAGAGAGGCAGAAGCACACAGCGGAGGGAGAGAATGAAGAAAGCTCCACAGAACCGCCGTCACATCATGCCGAAAATAAAACAAAGCTTGGCAAAGAAAAAACAACGCACAGTGTGTGCCCCCGAGTGAGCCCACACCCGAGGCAATCAAACCCGCATAGATACACACAGGCATAGAGACACAGACAGTTAGCGCCACCCCTCTCCACTTGTTATTGTGCACATTAAGTCCCACCAACCACCGGGCTTACTCAGGTATACAAGCACCACCTACGCATTCCACGCCCAGCACCTTTCACTGGCCATTTGACCCCACTTTCTCCATTCGCGCAGTGGCGAGGCTCCCTGGCTTCGTGTTATCCTCTCCTCCCCACCCCCTTGTCCTCCTGCATGAGGAGGCACAGCGGTGCACAGCGCAGACGGGGTCCTCAATGGAGAAAAGAAAGGCATGCGTGTACGCTTACTCATGAATGAAAGCATTTACTTCTCTCGCTTTCCCTCCGTGTGTGAGTAGGTGCCCCGTGGCTGTTCTTTATCTCCGCTTCTTTCCTCTGTGTGATTCTTTTTTTCATTCTTCCCTTATGACCAAAGGCCCCTTTCCATGTTATCGCTCTGTGCTACATTCCATTTTGCCTCTGCCCCTCGTTCAGTTCCTCCCCCTGCCCCCGAGCTCCTCTGCTGTGTGTACTTTTTTATATCTCTGATGTTTCGCAATTGATCACGTTGATTCACCCCTTTAACCCCCGTTCGTTTCTGCCGTTGTTTTCGTTTACATGTATCGACTCCCCTCACTCGTTCGTTTGAAATTTGATAGCCCAGAACTCCCCATTACTTGTCACATTCTTCTCCATCGTTGTGTCTGCACGGGCGCTTGTGTGTTTATGTGTAAAGCCGTTTCTGCCGCCGTCGTCATCCTCCCCAGAGCCCATTCACAGAGTCATGAGTTCATTCCAACACCAAACCTCGAAAAACGCACACCCATACACTTACACTCACACTGTCTCACTGTCCACCACCAGCGCAGTAGCCTCGGTAGCTCATCGGGGGGGAAAGGCCGCAGCCTTTCTGCCACGTTCTCGCTTCCCCTAACGCTCTACTTGCTCATCATCATCTTGACGAACTCCTCGTAGTTGATCTGGCCTTCACCGTCCACGTCGGCCTCGCGGATCATCTCGTCCACCTCCTCGTCCGTCAGCTTCTCGCCGAGGTTCGTCATGACGTGGCGCAGCTCCGCAGCGGAGATGAAGCCGTTGCCGTCCTTGTCGAACACGCGGAACGCCTCCTTGATCTCCTCCTCAGAGTCGGAGTCCTGCATCTTGCGCGCCATCAGCGTGAGGAACTCGGGGAAGTCGATCGTGCCGCTGCCGTCCTGGTCCACCTCGTTGATCATGTCCTGCAGCTCCGCCTCGGTGGGGTTCTGGCCCAGTGAGCGCATCACAGTGCCAAGCTCCTTCGTCGTGATGGTGCCATCGCCGTCCTTGTCGAATAGCGAGAACGCCTCCTTGAACTCGGAGATCTGCTCGTTGGAGAGTTGGTCAGCCATTTGTCCTTCGGATGTAGTGGGTTATCTGATTGCTTGGCTTTGTATGTCGTGAGCTCACACTAAGATGGCGGTGTTGCTAGCGCAGCAGCACAAAAGGGAAGATCCAGGTGCATATACACAAACATGCAGGTGCAAACAAACAAGGCGTGAAGTTTTGCTCTGCGCTACAGCAGAGCCCATGGGTTGCACGCGCACATACACATGCCTTGGTTTTCCTTTACTCCGCCCTCTCCCTTGCCTCCTCTATACGGCCACTGTTGCTAGCGGCTGCTCCTCCGCACGAAGTGTGAGTCACCGCACCAAGGACACATGCGCCGATGCAATGCCCCGCACCCCCGCGCACGACGGTGCTTGGCCGCACAACGGCAGGCAAAGAAAAAGAAACGGTAGCAATTAATAGAATTTAGAGGGGCGGCATCTACCTACATACATCCATACATTTATGCATCTGGGAAAAGACATACAAAAAAAGCCTGGGGAGCTCATCGGGGGGG